CCCCAAAACCCCAAAACCCCAAAACCCCATAGAAAAGTTATTTGTAAAATTCGTGAAATAAGTTAAAATTAATATTTGTGGAGTGAATCATTATTCTGTAAAAGTTAGATTGATAAAGTAAAGTTTAAACTTGATAATTAATTTATTATTGGATGGTTTATTGGAATTCTTAAGAGGTCGTATAGGCAGTCATTGGGGGTGCTTTGATTGCATTATCAACTACACTGAATTTATTACTATTTGGAAGAATTACTGGAATTAGCGGTATTCTAAGCAGTGTGACGAAATATGACACAAGCTAAGGATTTTATTGGAAGTATTGTTTCATTCTAGGGCTTCTTACAATTCCTAAGATCTTATAGGTGATTTTTGGAAGCTATATAGATCTAGGAGATGGTTATTATTTTCCAATGTTTGATTCGAATGAACTAGCCATGAAGTAGACTCACATTGCTGCCTGGTTTATTGGTGGATTCTTAGTAGGTGTAGGAGTAAGAATGGGAAATGGCTGCACTAGTGGCCATGGGGTCTGTGGAATACCTCGATTAGCAACTAGATCAATAGTGGCCACGTGTACTTTCATGATTACAGGTTTTGCACTTGCAAGTCTGAAATATCATGAACCTTTTCTGAGTAATGGGGAAACTTTTGGTGATACTTACTATGAAGTTTGGAGATGGTTAACTCTCGCTATCCTTATTCTAGGTCACATTTATGGAGGTTTCGTCTTAATCTCTAAAGATGAGAAACACATAAGATTAGAGTGTATTTGGTCTTATGTCTTTGGATTATTATTTGGATTGGGCCTTCTAATATCAGGCATGTGTAGAATCTCAAAAATACTAAACTTCTTGATAATTGACAGTGTAGTTTGGGATCCAACACTTATTTTTGTAATGGGATCGGCTGTCGCCATAAATGTGGTAACTTTCTATTTCATTTAAAAAAGAAAGTATCCCATATATGGCGAGAAATTTTCTATTCCTCCAAGGAAAGGGAAGGTTGATCTTAGACTCGTTTGCGGGGCAGCAATTTTCGGAATTGGTTGGGGTTTCGCAGGATTATGTCCAGGACCCGGCCTTGTAAATTTCTTTCACGAAACTCATGGTTTATTTTGGGTTTTATCACTCTTTATTGGAATGTTCACCTTTGATTATGGCTTAAAATTTTACGAAGATAAGAAAAAGAAAACAGAGGTCACATATGTTAGAACTAATTGAAATCTACATAATAAGATTTTGATAATCAGATTAGTATTCAAATTAATATAAATACAGATTAACTATAATTTTATAAATAGCATTAAATCAATGGATTTGATCCTACGGGGTTTTGGGGTTTTGGGGTTTTGGGGGGA